AGAAACACAAATTTCAGTGTTGCGGTATTTTCCGTTAGTAGTGCGTTAATTATGAACAATTACTATTATAAAGCAAATGCTTAAAATTGTTCTACAGCCTCCCTTAAGTGAACGTTACAGAAGCAGGCAATCCAGACAATTCCATACTGACAAGATTGTAAAAAAAAACTTTTGAATGATGCTTTATTTTTTATGTCGGTAACAAAATATCTGAACTTCGAAATCAGAGATTTCTGTTACAACGCTGTTGCACAGCCGAGCTGCCAAGATCACCCAAAGGAGACATAGCTATTATACTTATTACGTGTAAATACAAGAATTAGAATTAAACAAAAACTATTTTTTATCTCAACGCCAAGCTTATCCTCAATCAAATGGTACGAAAACTCAATAATGATATCGGATTTAAATCGGAAATAAAGTTGCATGAAAATAAAATAAAATATGTTTATCATGGAACATAAGATACATGTATCACTTATTCCACGTCAATAAATTTGAATTTGTAGGCATCCCTACTCATCGGCAAAGAAGACAGAGGGTGTAGGCCGAGAGAAAAAGCCGGCGTAAAAAACTCTCGGTACTCTTTTAAAATGATGACAGCCGAATATTACTTTTTAGAACTTTAGTCGGTAGCTAGTAGAATTGTTTCTTAATTCTAAAATGTATGCAGTATTTGTTTTTGTCTTCGGACCTGTCTCTCTTTCAGTATCTTCCGTTAGTCCCCACAATAATCTAACATTTCTCACCTGCACAGTTTAACGCTGTTGCGAATAAAGCCACACCCATTATTCAGATACAAAGTGTCTCATCGAACTTGAGTGCGGAGCCTTGAGCTTAATTCATTAGCAAACAAATAATTTCACATGAGCAGCTAACAACGCGCTAACCGCACGCGCACGACATACGTGAAATCATTTGTTATCACACTGATAACATTTAAGGCTGATTATATGCTAATGAAGAAGAGAGTGAAGAATATACTTGTTCTTGTATTATTCAAGCATAAAGGCGTTTTTTAATTATATCACTGATTGTGATATAATTAAGAAAAAAAAACTATGCAAAAAAATAGTTTAAGGATTTTATCTAATTATATGCAGCCTGAAGCAGCAGGTATAAGTAGTGTTGGCCTCGAGGCTTCAGTGTGCGACTCTCATCCCTGAGGTTCGATTTCTGGATGTTCACAAATGGACTTTCTATGTGCGCAGCGACTGCAATATGCGGTCGCCGCACGGCGATCTGCAGTTTCCATACTAAATTCATATTCGCAATACACGGACCGCTCGATCATTCCTGAGCAAACCGCATATTGCAGTCGGTCTTGACTGCAACATGCGGTCCGTCTATGGCCCGCTTAACAGTCGCTTGTTCGACATTTGTCAAACAGAAGGCTGAAATAAAAATGTTTAAAACGGTTGTAATCTGAGGCAAAGGCTCATATGGGGTTGTAGCTCCATTGGATTATTATTAATATGCAGTTTGACGGTACTCAATAAGAAATCATTTGAAAATAAGCCTATATTTCGTAGGCCTAACCAAAGCAAAAAGTACTTACACAAACACCATTCGAGTATTGGCTTCAAATCAGTTTTGAAAGTGTCAATTCTATAAAAGAATTTAATTTGAGCTGTAGATATTAATAAAGGTACAAATTAAACACCATTTGTAGTACAATGCATTTATTTATGTGAATCTATACTGATATCTTATCGTTAGAATATTATACTTTAGACATGCTACAGGAAACTGGAATGTATATCCTAACACCAACTATTGGTTGACCGTATTCTATAGGAAACAAAGTTTAAATATGATAAGATAAAATACATTTGCGAGATTTTTTAATACGTGTTATGTCTCTGAACAAAAGGCACCATTAAAAGATGAAACAGAAAACAAACCGTGTAGACCCGTGAGTTTATAAACAATTAAATATAAATATAAAAATGCCGTAATCCTGCATTAAAAAGACATATTTTGTGACACAGTTATAGCACCACACAAAACGTAAAAATTGGAGACTTGTATAATCACGCCACACTAATACAATAATCTTGGGAATCTTGCATTGTGAAATAATAACACAAAAACGATAAAAATTCACGAGAAATTACAATATTGAATGATGCCATTATTTAAAATCAATATAATTTTATATGTTATACATTAAACAAATTAACAAGCAACAATTTTCATTAAAATCTCAAAGTGTTAAGTCTCACTTCATGTTTAATAAGATTTAATATTAAATAGTACTTAAGTTAAAAATTTAAAACGCGAAGCACTTCGTTTATATTTTTTATTGGTATTGTGAAGTATTTTAATAAAACACTTCACAGTAACATCACTGACGTATCTCTGTAGAAAAAATTGTTTACAATTTGTATAATATATTTACCTTGAAGTCCTCCAATGGAGCTGACACATTTCTGCGGCTATTTCAAGGTCTGCTGTGTCTATTATTTCTTTTAGGATTAATATATAAGGTATTATCGAACGTAGCTATATTGACGTAGTATTGACGTCGAAAGTAAAATATGATAAATATGACACAAAATTACACCAAGATATATCTTACAGATTAAAATATTATCAACTTTAATTGAAAGTTAACATGAACCTTAAAGGTGATATTGCACATTTGTATAACAGATAAGTTGCATACTTATGACAGTTCATAGATTAGAGAACATTCCAAAACAGCTGTATAGAAACCATAGGTAAGGCAATAATATAAATTAATTGGTTGCGATAATTGAAAAGCAAGTACTATATATCTGTATTAGAATAAAATTCAGAATCGAGACGCCATTACAGTATGTCAAATTCATACATAATTTTCGTAACGCTTTTTTGATTCTTCTTTAACATTATTTATCGCAACCAATAATAACTAAGTACAACTGTCATGATACTGATACTTACATCTAACGAATACCACATAAATTAATTATTTACAATAAACTATCACAATAAGCTACAATTACAAATACTGTATAATAGCATGCCATATTTTAACGGTTTTGAATCTTCTTAATCAAAATAGTTGAAGCCGTCAAGAACCCGTAGTTAACTAAGAAATAACTGGCTGCTTTAACGTCAACTTAAGCCGAGTGATATTGATTCTTTAAGATAAAATCTATCAAAAAAATAATATTAAAATTAAAACTTTTATAAAAATGTAATTACATTTTACACAAATTGAAACGCGTATTTCAACTTATAAACAGTTTTAACAAATCATGGAAAAAAAAATTATAACATTCTAATAACTTCTTACTTAATCACCAATATTTATTCAAAACCGTTAAAATTTTAAATATATACCAATATAAGTGAACAATTTTACCCTAAGTGTTAATATATTTAGTTAAATCACACATAAATCAGGTTGCAACAAGCAATTGAATCTAGATGGCACCGATTTTTATATAATTTAATACTGCTAACTGCCACATAACACATTTTGACTAACCTCGTCAGAATATGGCAAAACACAAACTCCCTTATTCATAAGTCTTTTTCCGTTTTAACAAAAGTACTGTTAAACTGAGAAAAATAATGGAAGATCTATAAGTAAAATAATCGATATCAAATAGGTTAAATGAACTCCTGTACACCAGAGACAATATGAAAAAGATTCAACACGGTATAAAGGTCGTAGCCGGATCGTAAAAATGGTAATTTCATTGGACAACTATTTCGCGAAACAATCGATTCTCCGATCTGGCCACTACATTTATTATCAGAAAGTTATGAGACCAAACAAATGAATAATTAGTATTTAACGATACAAGCGCTATAATGAAGCAAAAACATTTTATGAATTGGCCAAACATTGAATGACATAAATTTTACGAAATAAATACGATTAGAGAGAATGGAATGAGTACTTTAGTTAAATCCGTATAAGACTAAATTATATTTAAGGAGAATTTTTAAAAACCGTCAAAATATTTTTTAATAAACCTTTGTGAATTATATATGGCCAAGCCTGTATAACAAATTATCTATTACTACAAAGCTACCCCGTAACAAAACCCTCTATGAGACAAGTAAAACACGATTTTGAAATCTAGGATATTTCTTACATTATAAAGATACAAAATTATGCTATAAATAAAATTAACTATTTCCCTTTCGTTATCCGCTAATTGACATATATCGTTCAAGTTTAACTTAAATTAATTACTACCGAGATATGTAAGGCGGTTAAAAAGAAGCGGACGACACGACTAATGATTAAACAATTAAACACTAAATTTTTTTTTAATGACACTACACTAATAAATTTTGATGAGATCTTTCTCTAAATCCAAAATGCGAGCGGACGTGTGGCTTCGCCGACAGTCGGCGCTCGAGTGACGAAAGTGGTTTCCGAGGTTAAGTTTATCGGCAATGGTAAGTGGGGGATTATTTTCTAATACATTCATTTTTCATATAAAAATGAAACTATTGTATTTACTAGATTCTGTTAGAATATGAATTCTGGGCAGTATTTGTGAACGTTGGCACCGCATTGATCTGTTTGTGACATCTTACACATAATATTTATTGAATTACATAGTAGATACTTAGCCATAATTAAGTATATAATTTACTATAATAGTCATACAACTGTATTTCGAGATACCCTCTCTTAAACGCTAGTGATTAATAGGTTTATATACTATAATATTGATTTAATATTCAAATACTAAATAGGTTAGAATCAGCGTATAAAAGAGGGTACATGTAAAATAAAAATATTTAGCGATTATAAGTACATGATAATTAGTAACTAATTATTTTCAATTTTTTATCTGTTTCTGTGATTAATACTTCGCCAATATTACGATATCGTGTTAGGGGAATGTATTTAATTAAAAATTGAGTTTTGAGTACAATTTCCAGGGTCGAATTTCAAATACAATTCCTTGTTCTATACCTTCGATTTAAGATGACCCCATGTCCGTAGAAATAAATACTGGATATAACTGTCTGGAAGCAAGTAAAGCTTATTCGCCTGTGTCCACCCATTTTGCCTCCTCCGCTATTCTGTCCATACAGTTGCACAAGAATTGATACTGAAATTGAAGTAATACATTTTGAATAATTTAAAAATTCGCTTTTTAAACCTGGTTATGTCATATCGAAAACAAAATAATTACGAATGTTTGCTAAGTTCTGTAAAATATTATGACAACCGAGAACTAAAAACCAAGGATTTTCAGTTATTATTGCTTCTTAATCTGGAATTGTTTTTTTTAATGATAGTTTTCTTTATCTAATGTTTGACGACTCATTGGTCTAGTGGTTAGCACCCCTGACTGCGAAACCATGGGTCCCGGGTTCGATCCCCGGCTGAGACGAACATCGATGTGATGAGCATTTGATGTTGTGCTTAGGTCTTGGGTGTTTAAATATGTATTTAAATGTCTATCTATCTATAATATGTATGTATATCCGTTGCCAAGTACCCATAACACAAGCTTCACCAGCTTAGCATGGGACTAGGTCAATTGGTGTGAATTGTCTTTAAAAAAAATAATAATAATGTTTCTTACAAAGAAATATGGACACTTTGTGTGAACAAAATTTGTATGGAGGTATACCGTTCTCCTCTTTTAGTTTGTAGGAAATATTTCCAAAAGTTCATAATAGACTTAGAGATTAGGAAAGTGATTTAAACTAATTCCCCTTTTCTGTATCTCTCTCTAGACGGAGTATATATTTACAGTTAAATATTTTTTCCACCTCCATAGCCATAAAACTGCCACATGTCACTTTGCTAAAAACCAGCAAATTGTGGAATCAATTTCCACTGAATATCTTTCCCAAGAAATTCGAATTACGACTCTTTAAGAAAAGGTCATTTCTTAAAAGCCCGGTGACAAACTCATAGATTTTTCTATGGTGTGTATAGGCTGTTGAAGTTTTATTACACAAATTTGCTATTAAATACTTACATATGGCGTGTGTAATATGAGTGGCCTCCTCCGTCCATAGACAACAGTAGCAGCCGCTGCCTCGTCGTCAGCGCGCCAGGATCGGACCTCATTCCACCCTATTTCTACACTTGAGCCTTCTTGTTCCACAGACCCACTTTCGAAAAACGCTGACAGCTTCATACCTGACCACCCTGAAATATATAATCTTTATATTACTACACATAATTCGATAAAATTTATACTGTATAATGTTTATTTGGTTGAACGTGCAAATTTACAGAAATAAATTAAATTAGAATTTTTAAAAGAAATACCAAAGATATCAAGGAATTTATTTATACGCACATATTATATACACAGATATATTATATGCTACGATCGAAACCGCGGGACACAGATAATACTAATAACGATAATACTAACATTAACTGTCTAATTCATAAAACTTAAGCGGTTTGTAAGTCACTGTATCTGCCTCTTTTCATCATAGCTAAAAATAATTTGACAGAAAGAGACGAAATTAGTACTTTAGTTAAAATAGTGCAATAAGACGACCTTAATATTTATAATAATTTTTTTAATGAATATTATGACATTTTCAATAATGAGATTAATTCGTAACGAAAGTATGCGTGCACACCGACGTATACGTACCGAGTGTCAAAGCAAGAGCCGCGTGCGTGTCCGTATGCGCGGGCGGGAAGGCGATATGCGAGTATCCGGGAAGCGTACGCGCCAGTGCTAAATAGTCAGCAGCGCGACGAACTTCCTGCAGAGCCTTAAGTTGATACAAACGCGCACCTGCTACGCACACGCCGCGATTCACGTCTTCCACTGCCTGTAAATCAAAACATACAAATTATAATTAATAATAAATTGTGAAAGATTAGATTGGAAGTTTTAAAACTACCTACTAAAAAATCATTAAACATTTCTATGATTCAGGACATTCCTACAATCAGATGCTTTAACTGGAATTACTCTTTAATTCAGTCGCAATAAATACTTTTTAAAATAACACCATAGATTTATTATATACAGTTTAAACTCTTTATAACGAATTTCAAGGGACCGATCATTTTCTTCGTTATAGAGGTAGTTCGTTATAGGGAAAGAAGTGAAAAAAAAAAACCAATTTAAGCAATTACAATAATTTATATATTAAAATAGATAGATGACAACGGCGCGTTTAGTAACTGAGACCAAAATTTCCTATAGGCAATGTAATCTAAGAATAATGGCACACGTTAATACAATAACGTTTTTATAATAAACTACCTACCCACATTCAAGAACTAAGCTTTAATAAATTCAAAAATTGTATAAAGCGGAAACTTTGTCAAAAGCCTTTTATACTGTAAAAGAGTATATTGAGGACAAAAAGGCTTGGGATTGAGCTGCTCCAATAAATTTACACAATTGGTGTTGATTTAAATACCTTTTTACATATTCTATACAATGACATGAATATTTACTTTGTAAAGTATTACTTATACTATTTTTAATTATTGTGAATGTGAAAATTCAAAAATTCAAAATTCAAAAATCATTTATTCACGTAGATAACACAATGTACACTTGTGATTCGTCATTAAAGAAATAAATATTAATGCTTCTAATTTTACATTTACTGCCAGTTCTCAAATCAAGGGCGTAGAACGGAAGAGAAGAACTGGCAATAAACTCTCCGCCACTCTTTCTAATCGCCATGTTTTTTTTTTTTTACACAACGTTTGTAAGGAGCTGCAACCATTACACCATGTTCCACATGACATTTTAAGTAATTAATAATAATAACATAAATAAAAACAAAGACTTGTCCCCTATCAGCAGGAGGCATGGTGAAATAGGAGCACGCACTTACATTCTCGTGGGAACAACACGCAAACACATAGTCGAAATAATTAACATCACCGCATACACGAATTCAAGTACGACCAGTCACCACAAGACTACGTGGATCATTGTTTTTTATTTATTTTATCCTTTTCTCAGCTTTAGTCATAGTCTCACAGTTTGAGTAATTTATGCGGCCTACCCACATATCTTTTCTTTGGTTTCGTCGAATCGTTAAGCTCCTTAAGTTATGAGTTCAGCTGCACGATTACTGACAAATGCGTGCACTGACTTGACAGGTCCACTCAAACTGTGGGGTTCTTTCCTCAAAAGACCATTTCAGACTGCAATCTACATGGTCTTCACATGATCTGACCAAGATTATGTCTGGACTTTAAAAGAGACTGTGACCTCTGAGTTTGTTTCGGCGTTTCTTCTCAGAGTAGTCAGATAGGAAAAGTAGAACTCATCTAGTTTAAAAAAAAATATGCTTGACGTGTAAAAGTGTTTGTACAAACCTACTTACAGAAAATAAATCATTTATCAATTAACAATAACAAAGGCGAGACGGCCTCAATAGGTTAGTTTTGTAATGTGATTATAAAAACAATTACACTTAAGTATGTTTTTGATGTTTAAATAAGAAAAGGTTGCGTTATAAAGAGTGAATGAATGTATGGCTTTGTGTTAAACCAACAAAATTTTATATTTTTTGCGTTATACACAGTTTTTCGTTATAGCGAATATACACTGTAGTCTAAAAATTTATATTGCTCAAAAATATCAAAAACAATGATAATATATGGTATTTACCTGCCAAAATATAAATTCTGCTGCCTTAGTGTCCTCAGAAATGACGGACAGTTCCGTGTGAGGGTTGAAGAGCCACTTGCGTAATGATAGGCATGACGAAGACGCGGTAGAATAGTTCTGAATATACAGAGAGTGGGGACATTCGTTCGGTTGCAGTTTGCGCTCTGGAAAGGACCAAATTTATTTAAAATTCTTGCCAAGACTATACTAATATGTACATCTTTTACATAAAATAAATTCTGAAAATTTTTAGGAAAATATATTTTTCACTGAGGGAAGCATGTAGATGTCCAGACTATATAACCATAAATAAGAGAGGAGCATGCGACTGTCATCCATGAGGTCGTAATTTCGATTGCCGACTGTGCACCAATACCTTGTCTATGTGCGCATTTAACACTCGCTCGTCGAAAGAAACAATCGCGAGGATACCGTCATACTTTTGACCGAAAACATTGACAGCGTGTGTCAGGAACGAAGTCTACTAGTCTACTATGGTTATAAGAAAAAAAAAACAAATGATCACGAAACAGATATATATACAATGGCTCAGACCTTAAAAGCAGTAGCACCACTGGTTTAAATATTAGAAAAAGTCACCTAGATGGCGCTATCTAGTTTATTTCCAAGAAAACTTTTACAATCCAGAAACTTAAAATTCGCTATAGCCAACAACCATTCCCTTCCAGAGTAGGTACCAAAGTAAGGACCTTTTTCTTTTTTTAATTGACATACAAAAGAAACATACCAAAATTATACTCGACTATCTCAAACAGGTAGAAATATTTCTGCACTTGTTTAGAGAGTCCGATCTTATCACATACAGCTCGGTACACATCATCAGCGTTGGTTGACTTGAGGACAGCCACGGTGACCACTTCTCTGTCCGGTAGGAGCACCTTCAGGTCTACTGGAGATGGATTTGAACTATCATCTGAATCTGTAAGGAACTCTTGTACCGCATCCGATTCAGCTATCACTCGGACTGCACACACCTGTGGGTAAACGTCACCTATACTGTTGTGCACACATTGACTAACTGCTAGAACTAGTCTATATAGTGATTTTAGCTGGAGACAGAATATACAATAGAATTAAAAATTGGTATGTAACTGATATAGCCAACTAGAACTATTTTTTGCATAAGAACTCATTTGATTTCTAAAGAAGGAAAAATGAGGATTCATTTGGTCTAATCAGAAATAACTAGTTTATAGAGAAGCTCGCCGCGTTCTTTTTAATTATTACGTAACGAATTTTGGGAGTCCTTTTGTAAAACGTTACGATGCGGGGCGGGGATTGAATTACGCGTTATTGTTAATATTTTTTTCGACTTTCCGGTACCTTACACCACATAATGGTAACTTTTAGGTATATAGTCACTGGGTGGTCACGAAACGTTTTGTTTTACTATTGGGTACAGAAAAACGTTACGGCGCGTTAGATGGGGGGTTTCCCATGACGTAATACTTGAACGCTTCCTTTGACACTAATCAAACCCATTACACTCCATGTACTATCCACATAGTCAAAGGCGGTCAATTAATTCTGTATGATCTAAATTAATTATGATGAAAATTACTCACTTTTTCTAAATACTGTTCCAGGCCTCTCCTCCTCCCATCTAGTTGCTGTTCACTCAGTGTGAAAGGCCATTTGCCTGGTAGCTTTGGGAAATTGAAGCCTGCAAAATTGAGGTACAAATTGGCAAACTGGTTATATCCAGATTAGAGATTTCATTTAATAAGTATTCAAAATAGTTAAGAATAAAACGTGGAACGAAATAATTCATCAGGCAAATCTCCTTAAGAAGTATGATTAAAGAAACGAGACTTGATGACAATTAACCAAGAATGGATGTTAATTCACTGTAAATAACTGGATTTCATCCGCTATAACGTTTTAAAATTCATCATTTTGTATACAGTAGAACCTCGATAACTTAAACCTCGGTAACATAAAAACCCCTTTTTCCTCAAAAAAACCTTTTTCCCCTCCCCACCACCCCCAAAACCCCCTTTAACTTAAAAAACCCAACCTCTATAACTTAAATAAATATTCTCTGTTTCGCCCCTCCTTAACTAAAATTTTTTTTCCCCCCCCCCCATTTAATTTTTTTTTGTTTTTTTGTAGTTTTTTTGAATGAAAAAAAAAAAAATTTTTTGTTTTTTTTTTTTTCGCGTGTTTTTTTTTATTTTTTTAAAAACCCTCTTTTTTTTTTGTTAAGGTTTGTATAACAATTTGCGTAAATAGTTCAGACGCGATATTTATTGTGAGATCAGATGTAGCCAACAACCCTCACCTAAATAAGTGAAAGATCCCCCCCCGGGGGGGGGGCGGCCCGCCCGGCCGGCCCCCCGCGGCGGGCGGCCGGGGGGGGGGGGGGCGGGGGGGGGGGGGCGGCGGCGGGGCCGCCCCCCCCCGGCCGGGCCCCCCCCCCCCCCCCCCCCCCCCCCCCCCCCCGCGCCCCCCCCCCCCCCCCCCCCCCCCCCGGCCCCCCCCCCCCCCCCGGCGCCCCCCCGCGCCCCCCCCCCCCCCCCCCCCCCCCCCCCCCCCCCCCCCCCCCCCCCCCCCCCCCCCCCCCCCCCCCCCCCCCCCCCCCCCCCCCCCCCCCCCCCCCCCCCCCCCCCCCCCCCCCCCCCCCCCCCCCCCCCCCGCCCCCCCCCCCCCCCCCCCCCCCCCCCCCCCCCCCCCCCCCCCCCCCCCCCCCCCCCCCCCCCCCCCCCCCCCCCCCCCCCCCCCGGCGGGCCCCCCCCCCCCCCCCCCCCCCCCCCCCCCCCCCCCCCCCCCCCCCCCCCCCCCCCCCCCCCCCCCCCCCCCCCCCCCCCCCCCCCCCCCC